AGCAGGCGCGACTTCTGGTTCTAGTAGACACTAGGGGTCTCCAGCTTCCGCCGCGGCGCTTCCGGTTAAGAGTAGATGATGGCCTGTCGCGTAAACTCTGGAGCCATGGTGGACAAAGGTGCGACGGAAACGTACATCGAAATCCTCCCACGATGCGATTTGGGAGCTCGTCGAATGGTACCAGTCATTGGCAGCTCACCAGTCGGGCCTTGGCAGTTTCCAGCGTGTAGGCAGCTGACCACGAATCGAGTTGCGACGTTCGACAAACGTTTTCAATCCACTCACACGCTGAAAGAGCGTCTTCGGAGCCATCGAAGGGACTGGTGTTGTGGCTCAAGTAGGGAATTACCTGGAACGTTGGCTCTGGTTGAGGTTGCGCCGCGCCGGCCACAATAAGTCGTTCCAGCATCTTTGATAACAGACGGTCATTTTGTTCAAGTAGAAAGTCACGAGCCGTTATCGCGTCTGTGTGGTTGGAGTCCACGTCCCCACCACCAGTTAGGTTGACTCGTTCGTCGGTGCGTTCCAATATCTATAGGCTTACGTTAACAGGCTTCGTAGACTGATGGAACTCACATTTTCTCTCAGTGGTGATTGGATGGTGATCCCACTTCTGAAGTATTACCTTCGCAGCGTCAGTTGTAGCGCACGAGACCTCGTAATAAAAGAATATTTTACTCACGCATGCCACACAGGCTATACTGACATGCCACACAGGCTACTGAACCCCACACAGGCCAAAACACTTGCTTGCTTGATCCTTTCATGTGGCTCTCACCCACTAAGGGGGATTGGCCAAGAAGCTGGTGGTTAATGTAAGTTAATACCTTAAGAATATCCCGGCTAGGAGAATAGGATTACTTTCTTTTGACTTGGAGGGATTATTTTGGCACAATGTGAAAAAAAAAAGTGAAAGAGAAGAAATAATAGAACTGTTTGAATAACTGAGGTGTAACACTACACATGCGTCTCTCCGAACGTCGTCCTATTCCTTCACTATCTACAAAAAGGCACGCACATCTCTTACATATGTCATCCGCTTTGTGCAACCACCCAGCTATCATCATCACTAACTTCGAGCGTTGGATTGTCTGCCGGCGCAGCGGACGGTTCGCGCTCCTTCGTTTCCTGTCTATCATGCCCTCGACGTAGCTTTGCACATTTCGAAGACTTCGTGCGAAGACCTCGTGCTTTCGTGATTTCGAAGACCTCGTGCGTTCGAAGACCTCGTGCGACCTTTTAGTGAACGCGATGCCACAAAGGGTTCGCTGACGGCAAGGTAAGTGATGAAGGAGGGGAAGCAGAGGAGAAAAAGAAATAATTTAGTGGAAATGACGTCTTCATAGTGGAAGACGTCATGTTACCTATTCGTGTTACCAGATGCATGGAAGGTTAGCTTAAGAGAAACGTGTACCTCGCAGGGCCAGCGTTTATGAAGACGCCCAATATTGTCGTAAAAATGTGTGCCTTGAACGCAAACATAGCTGATGCGTAGATGACATTGATTGTTTTTAGGCGGATCACTGTGCTAGACCCTAAATTAAATGAATTGAGATAAAAAAATTGCCCCCGTATCTGCTTGTTAATCTGCAAATGTCGTCTAAGACCGATAGTCTTGCGTGTGGAGAGAATGAACAATTTATTTGATGTTCTGCGCAAGAAATCGGTGAATGGTATTCTGGAGGCGCTGCGTTAGAGTTCCTCGAGCGTGCAGCGGAGGCGAACGAGCGCATCAAGTCACGTCACACGTGACACATGAGCGCTATCTGGCAGTTATCCTCGCACCCCGTGTGCGCCCGTCTCTGAGGTGATAAGGTGTAGAACGCAAGGTGACTGGTAGGTGCTACCACCGTGTCGTCTTAGCAAAGCGTTGGAAACACTTGCCGTTTCGTGCAAGCGTTGCATAGCCAGCGCAGCGTTATAAAGGCTACGATCCTTAAAATTACTTATGTATGCCTTTTCTAGTAAAAAACACACATACATAATATTGACGTGTTGTTATGGTGTCTCATATATGCGCCATAATTGCTTTTTAATTGACAATTGCACAAGTATGAACGCTCAACCTTGAGCAACATAGGTGGGCGCTGCGGATGGGGTCGGCCGTTTCAAGTACACGGAGCCGTTAAGAGCGAACAAACAAACAGACAGACAAACCACAATTTTTGGGTCGAAGGTCCCCAAGAAAGACTATCGTCTTTACAATACCGACGGTTCCAATCTTGGGATGTGAATCCACAACTTTATATTTACGCGTCTGACGCGTCATCACCTTCTTTGGGTATTTTTTTCAGGGAAAGAGAAAGCATCCATGTGTGAAGTCACGGTGACATCCCTTACTTGATGTCATGATCACGTGATCTTTATATAATCACTCTTGTTCATACTAATAATCAAGCTTCCCGTATAATGACGTATCTAAGGCTTATCTTCTACAGCATCGTCTTCTACAGAGAACAATCTGTTCTTCACGGTTGCCTTCGTATTTCTCGTCGCTCTTTTATAGACCACTCCCCCAAGGTCAGTGGGTGCCACCTGTGGAAAGGGACAGGTATCTCCAACTTGATTAAGAAGGACCATGAATCCGCATCACCACACAGGAAAGCGCATTGACGATAGTTCAGCCAGCTGGGATTTGTTCAGCAATGGTTCGGAAAGCGAGAGCTACACCGAGACTAGATCCGCCAGGTGAGGCTCATTTTGGCGCGCTGTCACTGACGGTGTTCATGCGCGTTCCTGACCCGGGTTTGTGGCATGCGGGGAGTCCGCGTAACTGTAGATGTCATTGATTTTATGATACTACAAATACTTACAGAAAGCTAGGCGATTCTTTCTTCTTAATACTTCTCATTACCGCTTGTTGAGTTTCTTGCTTTTAACTCGTTCAGTCCGTTGCGCAGCATAAACACAGCAGATTTCACTCGTGCGTCGTGCCATCTTCTTGATTGGTTGATGTATGATATGTGGAGTTTAACGTCCCAAAACCAACACATAATTATCAGAGACATTTTTGGAGAAGGCTCCAAAAATTTCGACCACCTGGGGTTCTTGGGGGTTTTTTAAGGTGCACTCAAATATGAGCACAAGAGCCTAAAGCCTTTTCACCTCCATCGAAAATGCCATCGTCACAGCCGGGATTCGATCCCGCGACCCGCGGGTCAGCAGCCGAGAAGTTTAGCCCCTAGACCACTTGTGCCATTTTCTTGATGATCGGCTTGAAGACTACATGTTTGTCATGACGATGTACAAAAGTACTGGCACATTTTTGAAACCCATTTCGGTGAACTTTATCAAAACCTGAGGGTGTCGCAGATAACCCTGGATGCCTTCAATGTACGCGCCCCTCATCAACAGATCTGTGCAGAGGCCTTTACTAAAGATTAGATACAGCCATTCTCGTGCTTGACAGGAAGCTTCCTTTTCTTTGGACGGTGAAAAAAAGTTGCTTGGTAGCACTTCCCGTACAAGAGAATCTATTCCTCATCATCGTTGCTGTCATCGCTTTAATGTAAGGGCGAGGACCTCCAGCTCACAAAATTCAGAGCTTATACGTTTATAACGTTGATGAAACTCGCATTTCTTGCTTTATAGTCAAAATTTTGATGTGCCAAACTGTGATCACGTTCTGTATCATAATTAGATTTTCTGAAATCAGTGTTCCGTTCTGTTTGAAATAAAATTGTTATTACTTTGCTTTAACATGCAAGAGAAATATTTTCGCGATGCGAACTCAGATGCACTGCTATTCTGCTGATTAATAGATCCATTATGCTACAGCTTACACCGTTAAACTATTACGTTGGTAACGTACAACAATCTAGAACCCAGCGGCATGTGTATTTGTTAGTCTTTTGCCATATCATCCGTGTTGATCTCATATTTTACACTGCCGCGAGGAATTTTCAGGTGTTGTTTCCTGCAAACAAGTGGCAGTAGAACTGTGATCTGGGTCACTTTTTCTTTTATGTGTTTCATCTAAGTGCAATGTGGCACATACCAATGGCAAAGCAGGCCCGTGCTTCCGCCACCTTCGAAGTATTTTTTTTCGCCATGGCATGCAGAGCGAGAAATGACCACTTTAAAAAGCTGCCCCCCTTTTCAGAAAGTTTTCGCTTCGCCCCTGGCCCGTACGATAGGTGAACTAACAACTGCGGTTCGCCCCACCGCATTGGCCTAGCAGCTAGGGTACTCGGCTGCTGAGCTGCAGGTCGCGGGATCGAATCCTAGCCGCGGCGGCTGATTTTCAATGGAAACGGAAATGCTGTGGGCCCGCGCTCTCAGAATCGGGTGCACATTGACGAACCCCAGGTGGTCGAAATTTTCGAAGCCCTCCACTGCAACGTCTCTCATAATCATATGGTGGTTTTGGGACGTTAACATCCCCCCCCCCTCCCTATCAATCAATAAATGCGGTTCATTCACAAAAAATCACCACCAATGGAAAGGAGACAGGCATGCGCAGTTTTAGAGCATAAGAGCTAATCATCGGTGACGAGATTCACATAACTGAGCTAATGTAAGTACTTCAGTATGATAAGAAGCTTAGCTTTTCGTGCATCAGCGAGAGAGATACAGTCTGCTGTAACAGTTATCTCCTTCCATGTGGATATGAGGAATTCCGAAAATTGACAAGTCAAAATAAATGAGTGTTCTCCAAATCTCTTTGTTCCAGCATACATAGAGATGTGGATGCGTGGGAGTCAGCGCAGGCTCGGCTTTCCCGGTCTGCGGACGTCCCACGGCGCGGCGTTAGCATCGACAAAGGCCCATCTGTCGGCGCCTACACGGGAAGACCTCTCGCTCGACAAAAGAGAAGTCCAGCTGGTACCCGACCGCGGGACGGGACGCGAGCCGCAACCGTTACTTCTCGCACAAGAGACCACGCTCCCACAACAGGTGACCGTATGGTCTTCGTTTCGCCTTCTAACCAACGGGAAAAGGCGGGCCATTCGTCGTCATCAAGGCTTCATCGTTCCGGGCGTAACTCGGAGCGTGACGTCATGCCTCGCACCAACCTGAAGCGTTCTCCCGCGACGTCCACTGTTCCTGGAGCCGGTACGGGTGCAGGCGCTTCGACGAAGTTGAATACTTTGTCTATATTGTCGTCGCCGCAGAAAGTAAGCACCGGGACCACCGACTCCCCGCTACGCCCGTCCCAGAGTGTGCACTTCTCCAAGACCAGCGACAATCGGAAGTACAAGAACAAGGATATCGAGATGAAAGTCCCATCGAGAGCTGTCATACCTACGTCAACAAGGAGCTTCATTCCTGGGGACCAAGAGTCGTTTGACGAGAGTTCTTCGTCCAGCAGCTCGAGCTCTTCAGAGTTCAAGGGGAAGAAAACAAGAACCCGCGCGAAAGGTGGAAGCAAGGGGTCCTCTAAGCGTAGGTCGCGGGAAGCACTGCCAGGGAGCCGAGGCGTCCATTCGATAAACGCCCGAAAAGCCTCGAGTAAACCAAGTCCTCGGAAAATCGTTGGTCGGGAGCACAGATCCACGGACACTGCTTGTTACCCGTCCCGAAAAAGTTCAAGTGACGAAGCTAGCAGCTCGGATAGCATGTATTCCACATTTTCGACCACTACCAGTTCCCCTTCTACCGAGGAGAAGTCGTGATGACGGCGTTGTTCAAGCCAAGGTGATGACCTCAACGCCAAGTCCTGAGAAGCTGCAGAGGACTACAGCTGTGCAGACCGAAGAGTGTTTGGCCTCGCCTCCGGTGTACCTTTCCAGGGCGAGCCAAACGGACGTCCAGAAGCCGGACAAAGCGTGCGGTCAGCCGAACGGCACCGTCGAAACAGACTGTGTCTAGCCGGACGCCCGCCAAGCTTTCATCCGTTCAGTCGGTGATGACGACCTTGGAAGGTGTGTACGAAGGTTGCCATAGCGATGGTAAAAACACAGTTTCTGCAGAATCATCTGAACGCATCAATCGAATTGTTGCATTTGTTGTTGCAGTTAGTTTATTGTGGTGCTTCGGTATGCTGAATGACAAATTATATCCAGTTGAGATAGTTTATAAGACTCAAGGCAGACAAGGTTTTTCGAGAGTGACTGCAAGAAAAAGCGTATCAAGCACAACGATTTTTTTGATGTTTAGTTGTTTTTATGGCCACATTTTCAACGCATGCACATTTCAGACTACGGGATTCCAAATTCGTCCATCTCTGTGATAGCAAGCAATGAAGGCACTAGAGAGGTGCGTGACTCAGATTTAGTTGCACGTTAAAAGCACTAAGTGCTCAAAATTTTCGGAGGCCCGCACTGTGGTGTCCCTGACAGCCATGTTTTAGTTTCGGGAAGCAAAAAAACCCAATTATTTCAAGTCTAACAAAGTATAGGGAAGTGGTGATTCATTCTTTTCGAAACTCAATGTGCCTACTCTGCACGTGCTTACTCATGGTTGAATGATCGTAATTGCAGCTCCTGATATATGCACCAGGGATGACACTTCGAGAAAGGTGCCACTCCCCACGTCTTCAGTAGAGGCGACACGGCGTCGCCAGCAGCAGGGAACTGCTCCGTCTAGCCCGACGACGCCTTCTATAGAACGAGTATCTAGCATCGAACCGTCGACCAGCGTTGTGTCCAATGACGTACACAGTTCTACGGGTCTCGTGGACAGACCCGAAGGCGCTGGCGTCGTGGATAGTCCCGAAGAAGTCGCAGCGCTAAGATGCTCTTCTCCGGCAATCTCCGGGCGACCACAATTCGTTAAGGAAGTCGCTCGCATTGAAGAAGGACTGTTGCCCCCGGGACAAATTCTTGTCGAATCTCCAGTGGCGAACGTTCCTGGTGGTCTGAAAGAGGATGCTGCTGTTAGCGAAACACCGACACCGCAATCCAATTCCACCACAAAGACCACAGGCCTATATAGAAGCATAGAGGATGTTGTTGGAACATCCGATGAACACCGTGGCCACCAGAGTGATGTCACGCCAAAGGTGAGTTTTGTACGTTAGCAATTTCAATCGTACAGCATGCATGAAAGCATCTCCAAAGTACACTTTAAACTTGATATGAAACAATGAAAAAAAAAAACAAGAACAAATTGTTTACTGAAACAAATACCCACTGCATATTGCCAGTTCTAGATACCGAGCTAAAACGCGGAGAATAAGTAAACTTAGTCAAAAGCGGAGGTCTACACAGTACTTAGTAGAACGTCAAATTATATGAGTACCTAAATACCCTGTGCCATTCTTAATAATCTTATTGTGAACAAAGCTCGCATATGGGGAGCCGACACGTCAGAAAACGCCACCTATTTTTGGCTAGCGTTCACAGTATGCATTTCTCTTGCCAGATGGCTAATTTAATAGAAATGAGACTTTAGAACTCACATATTAAATTAGCAGAAAAAAAGAAGTTTGGAAAGCAGATTTCGTATCGCATACATGCTTAAGCCAAACTAAGAACTAGACTGAAATACGTGGCGCAAGGTTGCCAATGAGAAGAACGAGAAGAGACAGAAAGGGCGCCAACTCACAACTAAGTTTATTTTCATGAAGCATTCACAATATATAGGCTCTTGGAAGACATGCGCAGACCATTTCATTCACCGCACGTGCAGAGATGAACATTTTGAAGATGTAATAAACGATTATTGCAATTATGATATCTGGGAACCAGTAACAAACAGATATGCCTGATGTAAAGACGTCGAAAAAACCAAACACATTCAAGCCCGCGCAAATAAAATGCGAGGAAAAAATCGCAAAAAAGGCCTGACAAACACTTCGTAGCAACTATCTAAAGTACATCTAGATCCAACAGTTGGAATTCACTATTATGTAACAAAACTGAAGGCATGTTGACGCACGAGTCACCTTTCTTCCTTATGTGAAAGGCTTCGAGTAACTCCCGCGCCAGCGCAATCCCGGCTCCTTCCACGTAGTCACGTGAGATCGAACTGTGGCGTGCAGCCACACGAGGCACAGCGGAAGGGCAAATGAGACCCTGTTCCATTCCTAATTGATGAAGAATGCTCTCTTAAATTCTTTTGTACAGCACCCTGTCTGGCCTATATAGACCTTGCCACAGCTCAGGGGAATTTCAAAAACAGTGTCCACTGCACAATGCAGGAAGAGCTTTGCGTGCTTCTTATCGCACACTGCCTTGGCACCTCTTGACTAAATGTGGGCACAGCGCCTTGAAAGCTTATTCGGAGCAGAGAAAACCACGGGCACATGGTGCCAATTTGCAACCTTTTTCAGGTTGTGGGAGATTTTGTGCATGTATGGTACAACATGCGGTCTTTTTCTCTGTCCTTGCAATGGCCTGTTCAACCCTCGTTTGGCCATGCTAAACGCATCGGCGAAATTCTTAAGTCGGAACTTTGGAGGCAAGTACGCCTATACCATGACCTGCTACGGCTGTGGTGTTTCTCAACCTTTCCTGCTTGGACCTTAAATGGTTCGCAGTATATGATAAATAAAAATAAAAATAAAAGTTTCCCGGGAATAATTGCTGAGGAACAACTGCGGTTCTTTCGTCGCTCAGCAACTGACACAACGGAGTACTGGTGGCAGTGAATCTTGGTTCGACTTTCCAAGCTCCAGACCAAGCGACCAATGCCGGACAATTTAAGGGTTCTTGGGAACGTGTCTCTTCCTGAGATGGTTGCTTTGGTGCTCAAGAATGGACCAAAGTTCTGCGTTGTTCCTAAGGTATCAACCCACGAAGTGCTTGCCTTGAACCGAGGCATTTCCCGCAGTGCTGATGAGGAAAATCGCGAGCGCTGCCTGCTTGAGGGTGCGGACTCACTTTGGGGAACCGTAGAAATGACCGTCCCAAGTTGACCACAGGCGGAGTGGTTCCGTACTTCAAGGAGCATGAACTTTCCCTTTTTCAGGTAGACAAAGAAGGCGGATTTGTGGTGATGTCTACTTCCAGTTTCCACGACAAAGCCATTTCTGCTATTATGAAGAATTTTAAGCTTACAACTGTAAAAGCGTCAAAGGTAAAAAGTCGTGCTGTTGAATTGTGCAACAGCTTTAATTTAGCCAATCTGGCTAAATCAGTTTCTGAATGCAAGAAAATTTGCTTGGAAGTGTTTTTCAATGTAAAAACGCACAAAGTTGACATGCCGTTTAGGTTAATTGTGACAGAAAATGATACTTGGCAGATGCAAGTGAGTCGCTATCTGTTGAAAAAATTTAACTGCGTTAGCCTTTGTAGATCCTTTCGCAACAAAAAGCTCCTGCGACGTCATAGATTTCTTGAAAAGCAGAAGTGACATCAGTTATCTTCTTTCGATTGACGTTGAGGATCTCTTTTATTCAGTGTCTCATAATAAACTTTTATCTTGTGTAAGGGACTGTATCGAGGAACATGGGGGCACAACATTTATCAATACCTCTGGCGTATCCGTTTCCAACTTCATGTCACCTTTAGAATTTTACCTTCGTAGCACCTTTGTCTCTTTTAATAATGGGTTCTTTGTTCAAAGAAAAGTCATTTGTATTGGCTTCTGCGTTGCACCTCTTCTTTGTAGCATTTTTTTGGCGTCTATTGATCGTGCTTTAGAAAATGCCGTTGATCCAGGAAAAGAGTTTAAGATTTTAGATATGTGGACAATTTCCTCGTGGTGTTGACTTCTACTAACCCTGTAACGCACTCTAACGAGGTAGATTTGGTTTTAAACCTGTTCCGACAACATGAAAAAGGCCTGCTTTTTACCCATGAAGTGCCCATTCACGAAAGCTTGCAGTTTTTAGATATTAACCTGACTCTGGGCGAGAGTCATGTCTGTTGGAAGTTCAGCGCTAGAACGAGAAAAGGACTTCTTTCATATGATTCTGCACATTCTAAAGTGGTGAAGAGGTCTATAACTGCTTTGTGCTTTCGTTGTGTGCTGTCCAAGTCATGCCAGCGCACCGTGTGTGATAGTTCTTCCTGTTAGTTATCGCGGCTCACTGCAGCCGGGTTTCCTTATTCGTTCTTAATCAGTGTGTCTCAAACATTGCTTCAGAGGCTGAAAGGGGAACGCAGAAGGCTAGAGCCATTGAAAGGACAGAGGAAAATACCGCATGTTGTACCATACATGCACAAAATCTCCCACAACCTGAAAAAAGTTGCAAATCGGCACCATGTGCCGGTGGTTTTGTCTGCTCCGAATAAGCTTTCAAGGCTCTGTGCCCGCATTTATTCAAGAGGTGCCAAGGCAGTGTGCGATAAGAAGCGCGCAAAGCTCTTCCTGCGTTGTGCCGTGGACACTGTTTACGAAATTCCCCTGAGCTGTGGCAAGGCCTATATAGGCCAGTCAGGGTGCTGTACAAATGACTTTAAGAGAGCATTCTTTATCAATTAGGAATGGAACAGGGTCTCATTTGCCCTTCCACTGTGCCTCGTGTGGCTGCACGCCGCAGTTCGATCGCACGTGACTACTTGGAAGGAGCCGGGATGCGGTGGCGCGGGAGTTACTCAAAGCCTTTCACATAAGGAAGAAAGGTGACTCGTGCGCCAACGTGCCTTCAGTTTTGTTACATAATAGTGAATTACAACTGTTGGATCTAGATGTACTTTAGATAGTTGCTACGAAGGGTCTGTCAGTCCTTTTTTGCGTTTTTTGCCTCGCATTTTTTTGCGCAGGCTTGAATGTGTTTGGTTTTTTT